CTTTGAAAAGGATATTTGGAAACCATCATTATTAATCGATAACTTTCCTTCTACTAAAATACTATAATCGTGTATATGCATTAATTATATACTGTGGAATCGTAGCTAGTTTTGCAGTAGGTACTTTTACTACAGTATACTGTAGTGATCATCGTAGTAAGAATATTCGTTGACTTTACTGTGAAAAGGATATTTGCAAATCATATTGATGATAATTTTCCTACTGCTGAAGTACTATAAATTCTACACGATCATAGCTAGTTTATCATAGATATACTATACTATGATTGCAATCAGAATGTTGGCTGCCTTCGTTAGTTATATTGCTTTTGCTGTGCAGATATCAACTTTTACTTCTTAGAATTGGATTATGCTATTTTGCATTCGTACATGGCATGCTTTAGCTTCGACGTAATATAGTATAATCTCCTCAGCTGAACTTCTCTTGCAACTACGACAACACCTTTTATTTATTTACTATCAAGTCAATCGATGATGATTGTTATAATCAGATGACTAGTAATAATAAATGTTTAATGGATTGACCTTTAATAGTATTTTAATAATAATTATATATATAATTATAATTGGTGACAGATGTGATGTAATTCGATGCGGATTAAAGAATTTATTTAGCGTACGTTTTGGACGATGTAGATAATGTCAAGAAAATTTGAATTTTTCCTTATGATTTCTGCTATGTAACCGAAATTTTTATACCTTTCCTTACGATTTGTGTCATGTGATAGAAATTTTGCAGTATCAGCAGCAGGCCTTTGAAAATATGTATTGGCAGTAAGTTGTCAGTAATCTTGTGACCTCATTGATAGAACGCCTACATAAATTGATAAATGCGTTTATGAGGTCTGGTAGAAATTTATATGGAAGTCTGTAGTCTAGGGAAGAGAAAAGGATATCTACATCCGTAACGATTCTTCAATATTGATACATCCTTGACTACTCGATTTATACTGTGTCATGATCAGTTGCGAGCGTAAGTCATTCGAGTTGAGTTCAAGATGTCATAATGTACGAATAGACGATCGATAGAATTATTGGCGTTTCATAGCATTCTTTTATTAGTGAAAACGAACATTACACAGTCAAGGGAAGCGAATGGGCTGGAGAAGAGGGTCTATAGCCATTCGCTATGTCATCAGTGATCGTCATCATTAGTGTAGCTTGATCGTGAAGGCTTAAGTATTCGGTATCATGATCATTGGATATCAATAGAAATAGACTGTGCTCGTATCATGATTATTGACCAATGTCAATTTTCTAAATCTGATGACTTGACCCAAGAAATTGATCCTATGGTGGATGGAAATGAAAGATGTAATACACCAAGTATCGTATGTGTATCATGAGTAGAATTTTGCGATTGCCGTAGAATGTATTCATCTCGGTTACTTTCGTTCTCTAGACGCTAGTAAAGATGGCTTCTCGAGCTCGATATTACCGTATTAAGCTGCACTTTCCAAGGTATGACGTAATTATATTTTTTACAATTGTAATTCTTTTTTTACAATCACTTTGCCATGCTCTGATCACCAAGGATCGATTCTGTATTACTGTCAGTGATGCAAACATGCAGTTTATTGTTCTTCGATATTTAAGCAATGCTAATACTCGTATGGGAGCATATTTACAGCGAATAGGATATGGTCGACAGTCCGTGCAATCTACAGTATGCTAGCGTGGTGATGGAATTCAATAGCTGTCGAGGGTTTATCAATGGTTGTATTTGGATAGTCATTTATCTCGTGATATGCATGTTTACATAGCCAATTTTAGCGTTCAATAGTGACTCAGCATGTAGTACACCAGAGTTTGTACATTAGTATATAGTTTGATTGGAACATTTACCCCTTTATTGACATTGCTAACGTTAGGCTAACAGAGGTCATCTTTTTTGTCATGCCCCTCTTGAGAGTATCATGTAAATCTCAACATTCTTCTGTAGATGAACTTTGTTTATGATGGTTCACTGAATAGGGTAAAGTAGAATACCCAGCGCTTTACAAGCTTACTGCTATAATAAATCATCCATGGATTATAAACGGATCGAGCAGCATCCCATGGAAGAATCTATCGGAAGATGAATCAATCAGATAGATTGAGTACCGGCCATTTTGATGCATGCTGGAGAGCGTGATCGGAAGTAGCGTCATTCACGCTTGGCTTCACTTTTTTGACGTATGACGCTCTTGATGACTTTTACTAAGCAGCTTGGAAAGAGAGCTCAGCCGACTGGCCCTTGGTATCCAGTCTTAAGATGTAAACAAAATTCTCATCTCATACGATAGGCTTGGAGCAACGGTGTGTTTGGAGCGCACTATAGTATGGCATTCCACTGTGGTACAACCTGGTACAGTACAGTACAGATCCGTGACGATCTGTTCTTGTGTGCCACAAGTGGATGCCACTGGTACGCTGATTATGGATTGCAGTGGAATTTTTGTCAAGGATAACCGATTGAAATTAAATTAGAATGGCAGATAGTGATTCAGTAAAATAACGACTGCCTTCTTGACGCAGCTGACAGAAAAGTACTTGACTTAATAGAGACAGCTTTCCACTGCACTCCGTGTCTTAGACGGACAGCCGCGGTACCGTATTGGTATTTTATAGTATGACTCTTCATCATAATGAATACAGTAGTCAGGGGTTTATTGCTACAGTAATTTCTAATTTTTAACGAATGATTGATATGGCTGTCCTCATGAACTGTCATTAAAACATTAGCGGTAGAATTCGACTGTTACTGTACTCTAACTGCGTACTGTCATCAGTTGTTCAACTGATAAAACAGAGAAGCACTATCCTGACAGCGATGAAATAACAAAAGTGAAGTAATCCCAAGTCAGTACAAGTAATTAGTGCAGCACAATAGCAGAAGCACCTAAAGGCATTTACGCCTTAAAAGCCGACGGCAACAATCATCCACAATTATTTCCATTGGATTCTACAGCGATTCTACTTCGTTACTAGAAACTGTAAAAAGAATCAATTGAAAAGATTGCAACTACTATTGATGTCAAGATAGAGTAGATTCATTGCAAGATTCAATATTAAAAAAAAAATAAAACAGGATTGCGTCTTTGCATAACTCAATCACTCCACTATGACTATAACTATGAATTAACCTATACAGTACAGTACAGTACAGTACACGGTACTGTAGACTATACAGTAGTAGTTAATAGTATTCACTTAATTAATACTGTAATGTCATGAGTCAACACGCCAAGGGTGAGCATTTCTACGATACTACAGCCTACAACAGAGACGGCGTTACCTTTTAATGAATATAAAAGAGGAACAAAAGATTTGATTGTTTCCTTGAAGACAATAGCAGTCTGTAATCGTTTTGTTCTCTAACAATACAGATATCAAAGTACGATTTCAGAATCAATGGCCGATGAATGCGTGGACAACGCATGGTACTGTACCGTACTGTGCGTGTAGGATGTCAATTGGAGGCGATAGTACAGAACAACATGAAATCGGACGAGTTCAATGAAATGGCCAGATCGATTGGTAGCTTTAGTTTTTTTTTCTCTACCACCCATATTCAGAGGGAATGGTGCAGCAGCAATGATTGTTTTTTGATGGGTTTTAAAAATAATAATCAATTAAATGAATTCAATCAAAAATAAATGGGCAGAGGACTGCTATGGTCGATCTTTCGTCCATGACCGTCGTATTCTACTTTTACTACACCTTCTAGCCGAAATATGTACAACATGTACATTGTGTGTACAGTAATCCGTAATTTGATCGTTGTGAGGATAGATCAATGAATAGACTACCATATGCTGTGCAGATGAACTTTTCATACTTTGACTTGGCCAGAGATTGTATTGATTTATGATCCATTTTATTTTTACTGTCAATATCTAAATGTGCTTTCCAGTGAGTTTATTTTCAAAATTGAACATGAATTACTCTGTACAGCATCTACTAGTGGGTGCTGCGTTTACGTATCCGGCCATAATCTATTTTTTTGTTATTATTGTTTTCAAAATATCAACCACCGCTTTGCCGATCATTCTACGTACGCTAGCATTGGCGATGCACCAGTGTTATTTGGAGTTTGTACAGCACGCCATGGATTGTGCCAACGCAATTACGGTACTACAGTCTAAAGTATGAAGCAAGTCAAAATGGAAAAATGTCAATATTATCCCAAGCTACTTTTTGTTGCTAGTGCTAGCAACAAGCAGCATGCAAGTGTCCAGCCGTTGAAAACAGTACAACTACGCTACCAGCATAGTAACACGCAATCAATGTCCATACACATTCATCAGTGCCATTCTACTATCGTCCAAGATCGACTTTTATCCTTCCACAAGCCATTATTGACCATTTAATTAGTGGCTGTAGTTAGCACTTTGGCACGTTTTTTGATAGTCTTGCCAATCCATCAACAAAGGTTGCAAAATGGGAGGGACCACTATAGTCATCCAAATATCACGTCGGCGATGATTGGTGGAGCGAATGCATGATGCCAATCATCATACATACTAACAATACTTTGACATTCCGGTAATACCGGTTACTCGATCGATTCTCCATACATGTAATCATTTCCCGCCTAGTTAAAAGTTTATTTCCCAAATTACTGCTGTAGCGTGTGTTGTGGCGATAAGTGCGGCCATATCATCGCTGTTTTTCGTCTTCCTTGCAGGTAAGAAAGTAGATAACTAAGTTGATCATTTTCATCTTGAATGTTGTCAACGAGTAGAAGAGTAGGATAGCAAATCGAATTTCAACGTTGGCCTTAAATCATCATCTAGTTTTGCCTAGTCATGCTATCACACGTTGGCAATGATTCCCACTACTATTATAGTATACATCGCATGTTTTATTGTCATTGGTGTGTGCCGTAATTGAATGTGTTTACTCTACTGTGTAGAGAGAGTAGAACAATCATTGACAACTTTATTTTTTGACGGGTCAAATAGTTTGATCAAGTTTTCTCCTTGAAGAAAAAAAAAGCATCATCCATTAGCCATGGCAGAAGAATTTAAAGAAATTGGACCTGGGGTAGAAATTCGTGAACCCACCAAAGAGAAGAAAGATGGAGAAGGAGGAGGACTAAAGCTCAAAAGAGAAGTCGGTCTGATCAGTGGTATCACGCTTATCATTGGTACTATGATCGGATCAGGAATCTTCATTTCACCGAAAGGTGTTCTACTCGGTTCTGGATCCATTGGCTTAACTCTGCTTGTATGGGCTGGTTGCGGTCTCATCGCTCTCGGTGGATCTATTTCCTATGTCGAATTAGGTACTTCTATCCGCATGTCAGGAGCAGAATACGCTTATATCCTGAAAGGGATGGGCGAATTGCCTGCATTTCTTTTCGCTTGGACGTCCGTCATCATCCTCAAGCCATCGTCAGTAGCGGCTATCGCCGTAGCCTTCGCTGAATACGCTACTCAACCTTTCTTTCCTGGCTGCACGCCTCCTGCACCAATTATGAAATTGTTAGCTGTCTTTTGTATCGGTAAGTTAAGGCAACATGAAGTTGCAGTCCACTTATTCTTCTTTTATTTCTACTCATACCCCCCTTCCATTAAAATAAAGATTTACTATTAATGGCTTCAATACAACAAAGGCAATAGACTAACCAATCCCAATTTTGATACTGTAATTACGACTGTCTACAAAACAGGATTATTTGTAACTTGTACATCGAAAAACATTTTCACACGCGATGCCGATTGATGATACTACCTTTCACCATGGTCATGGAATTATTTTCCATGACCTAGAAGAAACTTGACTAAATACGATAGACTTGCCTTAAATCCAGTGCGCGAGCACGCCTCAATGTGCCGTAGGGTATGCTTATGCAGTAGACAGTATTTTGCTGTAAGGACGTTGAAAACTACAATAGTTCAATATCTGTTCGAGGTATCAAGTTAATCCTACGTGTAAGCTGTTATTGTAGCAAACTAAATTGATGAGGAAAGCATCCATTCGGCATGGGTTCCTATGTTGATTATGAATACATCGTAGCGTATTTACACATAGAATCGATTGGCTGACTAGCAGTGTCGTACTGTATGGAGCGGCGTTGGTGCATTTTTTGTTTATATTATGATACTATCGGATGAGAGTATCAACACGCATTCGAGATGTAGTTTACTACATCTTACTATAGTGCGCATGAAATGTTGTGGATAGATACTGTCGAGGTTGAACAATCGTGTATGGCCGCAACGTCGTAAAATGATGATTATAAAAGCATTTGGGTGTTGATTGAATTCCAATTTTGCTCATCTGTGGTTATATTTAATTAATAATTGTACTTTACGGTCGCTGTTGAAGAGGAAAAATAACACGATTGAAATGAGTCCATTTCGTCATACGCTTCTGTAGATGGATGAAATTGCTTTTATTTGTAGTGTTTAGTTGAAAGGTTACTGAGAAAGAAAAGTGCCTTGTTAACGTGTAGCCTATGTGATTTATTGTTAAGCATCGATGCATTTTACTGTCGAATTCAGAAGAGATGGTGAGAAGATTGCAATCGTCATAGATCCAATTGGATCTTGTTGTAATTTTAATGACCGATGCCAATTACGCCCTAGGCGGGATTTTGTTTTGGGAAATGCTTTAAGGCAAGCTGGAAAAGTAAAGAATATCCAATTTCAACATGAACGGTGGAGTTGACCTTTTTCACTATTGTGGTTATACTTACCTGTACTAGAATATTGGTAGTTGGCATGCATTTTTTTTTTTGGAAACCTTAATTAATGAATAACATTGTTTATACCACGGTAGTTTTATGAGTAAACTAATGGTACTCTACTATGCTGCTATTAGTTAAACAATAACATTTCTCCAGCTACAACATCGTATATTTCTTCTGTCAATGGCTCTATTTGGTCATGGTAGTAAGCAATATTAATATGGATTGGAAAAAGGAAGATCTAATGGGAAAATGATTTTAGTAGTTGGTCGAGTGTATTGCATGCAGTCATGATGATAGGCAGAAAACAACACTGTTATACTATATCGGCGTCCATGTACATAGCATCATACGGACGGACGCCATCGAGGACAAGCCAGTATTGCATCATGCATTCCATTCATCTTTGATAAAATGAACTAGTTTGAATAGTTGTGTATAGACGCACAACCCTAGTATGGGTACCGCATTGTACGGCGTTGCCTCATGTTTTCAATGATCACAAGTGGCTACAGTAACCGCCTGTCGTTATGGCGTTGACAAATAAACAGTCATGATTATCTCTTCCTTTTCGCATCCATTTTCTCCTGATAACTGGTAGTCTAGATAGCAGTCATCAAGGAGTCTTGGTGTTATCTTATCCCTCTTTTCAAAAAAAAAAAATCAAAATCAAAATAGGCTCGCTGGAGACCGACGGCAAGCCAGCCAGCCAGCCAGGTGGATAGTAGTTTTCCATATCAGATGGTTTCATCGTTGAATGTTGAATGATAATCGAGTGCAAGATCGATAGCTTACTCAATGGGAAACGAGTGGAAAGAAATAGAGATAGGCAATGAATTTTTTTCCATTTGCATTGAAAGTTTTATGAACAATCAGGCAGGGCAGGGTAGGGTGGTGCAAAAAAAAATGGCTCTGGCAGTCATCCATACACGAAGCTGGACGCTTGCCTACTTGACATACAATAACACTAGGACATTGCAATGGTTTTGGACATGGTATTGAACCAGTCCTCAAATTGAACCATGTGATTGGAAGAGTGCTGATAAGGAAGCACTTAGACACTTGAAGGAAATGGCCATGATGATACAATGTAGATGATCACTAAATATGTTGCAAATTACATGGATAGCAATCTCGTTTTGATTCTTGCAACTGAACTTTTGGGTTATTAGCGCACTTCGAAGAATCACAGTCAGTTACAGATTGTTGGGAAGTACAAATAGTGACCAGAAAATACTTCTACAGTAGATCACTAGGCTACAGGTAGAGTTGAAAAAAAAAGTGACGCTACGTGATCCATTTTTACCGTGGGTTTGGATAGAATGGATCATGAAAAACTTTTACTGTTCTTCTATTTGCTTCCATGACAGTTTTCCGATCAACTACGGATACTCTTGTGTAGTTTTGAAGACATTCACTGTGAATACAAAATGACTATTTATTCTTCACTTCAACAACACTTGGAAGGCAGTTAAGACATTCAAATCGTTCACTAGTATTTCACAAGTGAACGGAATCACAGATTGGATGTAGTGTTGAAACACGCGCTCATGGCAACGACCATAAGCGGATACGACTATTCATATTAAGTGATGTGTTAGTTGACTTTATATAATGGTAGGATTAATATCGTCGCCATCAGTAAAAAAATTCGATGTAGACTACGTGTAGTTTGATTAGAAATAATTTCCACTCAACTTTCACATCTGTCATATATTGCTATCGGTAGTTAATAATGCAAGATGGGATGTCGGCAATATAGAAAGACATGCATAATAGAATGGAAACAAAAACAAATGCTTGCTCTTATTCAATTGATCAAGTTATTAATAAATGAAATTACTTTGTATGAAAAGAAATAAAAAATCCTACATTGGCAAAATTTAAATTCACCATCATATATTCTATCGACAGTGAGAGGTCTTGTCTTGATGGTCTGGTCTCAACAGAGACCGATCTCTATCTTGGCACAGAAATATGTATGCGTTGCCTTTTCACCATAGTTTTATCGCTTTTACATGTGTGTAGACAGGAAATGAATTAATTACTGACTTTTACAATTGCTTCCGTCATTGATATTTAAATGAATTTTGATAAGAAGTCTTTTACAGACTGTTATTTGAAAATTATTAATCTCTATTTTCCTTATTTTTCTATTCGGAAATTTAGCAATTATCCTAGGCGTTAACTGTTACAGTGTTAGATGGGCTACTAAATTGCAGGATATCTTTACGGCTGCTAAACTTGTTGCAGTATTCGGATTAGTTATCATTGGTATTGCTGAACTTGCACGAGGTAAGCTTCTTATTAAATTAAATTGATGTTATTTGCATCTTGTATGCCAATAGTAAGTAGCAATCCACTCGTTAAATTGTTATGTAATCCGATACCGTAAATGAACGATAAACAAATACACTATGGACCTCTGTTATTTACAACAAATCTTTATAGATATCGTACTGTAACCTCGAGTAGCTTTATTGCGATACGTTGAATGTTGTTGATAGAAGTGCCTTTTTTTTGAAGGAAATACTAAAAACTATGCCAACAGTTGGGAAGGCTCTGAAACTAACGTTGGTGTGGTTGCACTGGCTTTTTATCAAGGTTTATGGGCATATGATGGATGGTAAGAATCTGCTCATCGTATCATAATTACAAACCGTTCTTGAAATTAAATATTTTATTCTATCTTTATAGGAATAACCTGAATTTCGCTACCGAAGAAGTTAAGAAGCCAGAAAAGTATGCAGTAGTCCCTTTCTTTTAGTGTCTTTGTTATAATATTATGATATTAAAAAATGATTATTTTCCTTTAGGAACTTGCCTAGAGCTATTTTAATCGGCATACCATTGGTTACCGTTATTTATATCCTAGTTAATATTTGTTACTTCACCGTTCTTACAAGACAAGATATTTTAGATTCTGCAGCCGTTGCCTCGGTATGAATTTCTTAATAAGAATTATAGTAGCTGCTATAAATATGACGTAGAATATTAATAATAGATACGTCTTTCTTTAGACTGTTGCTGCCCGTGTTATTGGAAATGTACCATGGTTGGTTCCCATGTTTGTCGCATTTTCTACCTTTGGTGCCTGTAACGGTAGTGCTTTCGGTGGTTGCAGGTAAAAGAAAGGTTTATATATATTTTTACTAACGTTGGGGTGCAAGTGTATTTTAGTACTAATATTCATTTTTGTATCAATTTTTCGTAATAGACTGAACTTTGTGGCTGCTAGAGAGGGTCATTTACCAAGATTGATGTCTATGATTCATAGAACTAGACTTACTCCTATGCCTGCAATGATCTTCCAGGTAAATGCCGACACAAATCGTTCATTTTGTTACAGCCTTTATTTTTCAAAAGGATTCTTTTTTTTATTTTTGTTAATTCAACGTCAATTTTATTTCCCATTTAGTGTTTCGTTGCGATCTTGTTCCTGATTCCAAGCGACTTTGAAACCCTAATCAATTATTTCAGTTTTGCTGCATGGCTATTTTATGGAGCAACTTTCATAACTTTATTATTACTAAGATGGAAACAACCAGACCTTCATCGACCCTTCAAAGTGCGCATTTTGTAACAACTTCTAGAATTTTAAAATGAATTCATCATGTCCATTAAATATTGTATATAATTTTTTAGGTTTGGATTATTATCCCAATCTTGATGGTTCTAATCTCTGCTTACTTGGTTATTGCTCCTATCGTTCAAGCTCCAACTGACTCGTTAATTGCTGCTGCATTTATTGCTGTTGGAATCCCGTTGTACTTCGTTTTTATCAAAGGATACTATGCACCTCAGTTTATGATAGATGCTACTGGTACGTGTATTTTATAATGAATTTTTTGTTATAATAAAAGTAATTATTAAATAGTATAAATGATTATGATTGTACTAAAGTAGTACTTTCTGTAATAATGTAGAAAGTGCAACGTTGTACTTCCAACGATTATGCCTCCTTGGTGAAACTGAAACCAGTGTAGAAGTTATGGATCACACCAACACCGAAGAGGCATTTTAATGTGATCCATTTAAAGTGATGTTTATATCAATTACGACATCTGAAAGCATTTATTGTATATAACTGGGACGATACTTTGTGCCTTTTGAAGTTTTTGAAAAGGAGAATTTGCAGCAATCGTTATTTTATTCTTGATTGCCGTAGTATTTTTAATGGAATGTTTTTTTTTTTTGGCAAAGACTGTGCTCTGATAATAGTAATTACAATAGCTAAGCATTCCAAGTAATCACTCTATTATCTAATTAACTTTAATCACCTAATAATTCATATTATGGTATATTATAAATCACTTGAATGCATGGTTGACCTCGGTAGCTGTTAGTAATCTAATTTCAAACTTTAATAGTCATTAATCGTTACATTAATATCGATATGTATACTAATATTCCTAACGCATATTCTTGCCGGTAATGTTACCCAATATGTTAATTGTATTTGTTAATATTAAGGTATCTGTTTGAGCGGATGTTTTGTTAATGCTTCGTCGAATTATAAGCAAGACCTCATCATCGAGCTAGTAAAATGTCCAAGAAGTACTATAGATAAGAGTTTAGAAAACATGTTATTTTCCAACGATACTATAAAGTTTGATGAGCATATGAAGAGATGATTGCGTCTTAATTTAAATTTCGAATGTGTCGTATTCTTTCTGATTAAGATTATCTTTATTTATGTGCTCGGAAAGCTGTAGATCGTAGGCGACCATGTATAACCTCTTAACCTTACTGATTCTTGCAATATTAATATATCTCTAATATAAAATGGTTGTGAAAATAGTATTTACTACTGTTGCTATTTAGCGTAACATCATTGTCGATTGTTTTTATCTCGATGAATGGTTTGTGAGATCAAGTTTGGTAAAGTAAGATTTGGATTTTTGGTGATTTGGATGACATTATTTATATTGGGTAATTTAACCAATTTTCAAGCAATTTAACGTAAAAATAATTATTATCAATATAATATCATCGGTTTGGTAAAATTAGCTTTTTTAGCTCATAAACATGTGACGAGATAGACATTGTTCTGCCTGTTACAATAAGACCAGTTATAATTAAATGGACAGTCTATGGTCCAAAATTTACGAATAGAGTAGAAGAAAATTGGTTACAGAAGGGTCATCGGATTATTACTATGTTGTATAGTACTGTACAATTTGACAATAATTAATAGATTTGAGCTAGAGGTGTTGGCAATGTTCTTGCTTGCTAAATTCGTATTTTGTAAGGTTGAACATTTAATAAATGCGCGCATACTGTATTATATGTAAGTACAATGCTAGATTTGCACGCTAGGTAAATATTGCTGAAAAGCAGGAAAGTGTTATACTATACAATAAATAGGCTAAGCTAACCAACCTTAAACCAATTCTGTAGGAAAGTTTCATTGATATTGGTGGGTAATTCAAGAGTGGATTGTAGCAATCTATTCGTGTATGCGTAGTTTTACTTAATGCCGCAAGATGAAACGATCAATTTATAAATTGAGGTAGCTGTAATAGACTTTTATCGTTAGTGTGAAACGATGTAGTTCTTTACATACAGCATCGATCATCAGATCGGTTTATTATATTCGATAATTTCATTATGTCATCAACAAGGATAAGAATCAAATCCATTGCAATTTTTGTAAAAAATGCACCCGCAGTAATATCGTCGTTGATACATTAAACCTTAAAGTAAGTTAGCAGCGCGATTTCGATTACGATATCAGGAAAAGATTTGCATCCAATGCCACTATTCTTTTTACTTACTACGATTATTACTATATAATTAATTATTGATCATATTCTACTTACCACGATGTGCCATAATAATGTAGGCTAAAACACTGCAGTAAATGGGATAAGTTATGTTACTTTACTCTTGCTACTATTTATTGCAACAATTAATGAACGCGTTCTAGCTAGCTATCATTCCATTAGATTAGATGAATCACAAGGATAGGATAAAGGGAATTCCTTATGTCAAACATTGATATGGTTACTATTTACCATAACTGTCATTAAATACTGGTTCATTCCACTTATTCTTTCTGCTCAATTATAAGAGCTAAAATGAAACAGTAAATGAAGTAAATTGTATCAACCATATTCTGCTTACTATCTGCAGTAACTATTATTAAATACTGGCAAATTTCTACTTACTATTCCTGCTAAATCATATGAATTAGAATGAAATAGTAAACGGAGTAAGTTGTATCAAGTATCATTCTGGCAGATTCTGGTAACTATAATTACTATAGTTACTACGTATTTATTATATATTTTACTTATTATTATTCCTGCTAAATTGTATGAGCTTAAATTACATCGTAAACGGATTAAGTTGTATCAAACCTCACTCTGATTTCTATTAACTAGACTATTATTAAATATATTCTATCTTTCATGCTAGATTTCATGAATTTTAAAACGCTATATTAAATGGATTAAATTGTATCAAATATCACTTTGGTTACTATTTACTATGACTATTAATAAATACCGATATATTCTATTTGCTATTCCATTTAGATTACATGAGCTAAAATTAAACAGCCAGCGGAATAATCTGTATCAAATATCATTCTGGTTATTGCTTATTATAAGTATTATTAAATATAGTTTACATACCATTCCTGTTAGACTATACGAGCAAAAATTAAACAGTAAGCGGAGTAGGTTATATCAAATATCACTCTAGTTACTATTTACTATAACTATCACCCCACGTACTCATCACTCCTACTAGATTACAGTATGTGAGCTAAACAGTAAATGGGTTAAGCTGTATCAAGTACACACACTCTTGCTGCTATTTATTAGGATTACTATCTTAAAAGTATTTATCGCATTCTGCCTGTCATAGCTGTTATATAATATGAACTAAATCGCTACAGGGATGGAGTAATGTCATGTTTCTCTACCACGATACTGTAATAGTGACATACGGAAATAGGATTGTCTTAAGGATGATACTCTTCCAGTTACTATTATGATTACTCTCAAGCTATCGACATGATATAAAGTAAAATCTTTACTATTCATCGTCGATATTATTTATTTGTTAGTAATCTTTAAAATATCAAGATCGGTGTATTCTATTCGTGTAGTAAATTTTAACTTCGTACATGGAGTAAGGGTATATAGTGTACACGTAGTATCGTCATTGTCATTATAGTATATGCGAAAAAGAGTTATGTCAATTGCAATCCTTTGCCACTATTCTTTCATTATTAATCCTATTTTAGCCGTCATAAATACTATATTACAGCTTTACATCGAGTAATGTGATTTAAAATTATTGTTTTAGTGATGATAGATCAATCTTATCCATGTCAACTTGACTCTATGGTAGAGCACAATGAATAGGGTAGACGGAACAATAATTTTCTAAATAGTCAACATCTGGTTAATTTTGAAATAACTATGTTGACCTTGTGAATAATTCTAATATTTCCAAGTATTGTTTTATGAAGACAGTGGCTTTGACACCTTGAATTAATATTTATTCACTAAGGATACTACATTGCTGCTGTAGAGGTCATGATTACGAAAGGAAGATAATTTATCTTCAATCTATTACTTATTACGCAACAAACTACTCGTAGACTTACGATATCAAGCCTACCCGATCGATCTTTTTGGAAGTTATTATTTCCTAGAGCTAATTTAACTTGTAGTACAAGATAAAAAAATGAAGCATTGACCACTCTATAGAGCGATCATATATCATAATAACTTGATTGGTTATGATGATGATTGCTTTAAACGGATAAGTTACGGTATTATCGGAACACATTCTTTTGTAGTAAAAGAGCTAATTAATCTCCTGCTGTTGATACATAACTTATTTTTTTATCCTCTGCTTTATATATTATTTGATTTTCATTATAAGATGAGGGATTAAAAGTTGGAATTTTACTTCGTTAATCTTTTAAGTGGTATAGAAATGAATTTAGATCCATTTTGGGGCTTCTTTCGATTTCTGTAAAGCTATAAATCTTCGCATGCTGCCCACGGAAGAGGGCGGAGAGGAAAAATATGAAAAAAAAAATTCCTTTACTCTATTAATCCAGCTGTTTCACACATGAAAATAATCAAGTTGGATTCAATCTCTATGAATATTTATAAAGATCGAGTGACTGTAGTAAAAAATGAAAAATACTTTTTCGATACTATTGCATCGCTACTCAAGCTATATTCTACACTCATGAAGAAACTTGCTTCTGTCCATTTATTGATTGATGAGTTTAATTTACTCTTATTGAAATATTTGTATTTTACTATTGTTTGATTCATCATCAAAATCAATAAATACGATTCCTTCCAATGCGATTGTATCATTTCTTTCAATGATTACCTCGTATAGTATTGTTTTCAACAGGGCCAAGATGGCTAAAAATAATACTCGAAAGACAAAAAAAAATTTTTAATTAATGAGAATGAATTGCTATGATTGTAAGGCATTATCTTGAATATTCATCCATTTTAAACTATGCAATCTTTTCTATCTGAGAACAATAAATGATTTTGCGATACTTCATATTGGATATGGACTATTATAATAAGAAATTAAAAGAAAATTCCAGTTGTCATTTCATAGACGTAGACGATCTTGAGGGGAAGAAAAAAAATTAGAGATTGGTGAATACAGTGTATTGGTCAATCGAATTCCTTTTTGCGGCCATTTATACGTAGATTGGATTTTCTTTTAATTTAGCTGATGAAAAATCTTAGATGATTTCAAAGTCGTTGGACTTATTCTTGGCTTGATATTAACTAAGAAGAAAAGAAAAATTATTACGAGTAGAAATTTTTATTTGGAAGCTACCAAGATAATTCTAAGGTATACTCACTTCTTTGACAACTTACTCGCTATTTCCCTATCTCTAAGTTTAAATTTTTATGAACAAATTGATAAAACATTATTTTATGTCTTGTAAAGATTGATGTAGAAAAGCAACGAGGAATAGATTTAATATGATGGATCTCCTTTCTATTTATAATTTTATCCATACTATCGGCAAAGAGACTGACAGTTATAGCCTTGTTTGATGAACACGTTTTTAAATATTTTCCATAAAGTTGATCAACTTTAATCCTGCTTTTAACTTGTGTAATAGCATATCAATGATGGATTACAGCTTAAAGATTATTTCTCCGTGAATTTATTCTAAATTGATATAGTACTGTTAATTTATGATAGTCAATGATTTAATATTGTCCATTTTTAAGTTGGACAAGTCCATAATAAGATAGAAAGAATAATAGGCAAATAAAATCCAAGCTGGAAATAAACCATTTCTAAATTAGATAATAACAGCTACTTCTAACCATCCATTATGATCGGTCTAGATTACGACTATGGCGACTGAATTTAAAGAAATTGGACCTGGCGTAGAAGTTCACGGCAGGAAGGCATCATTAAATCAAAAGCCACAGCAAGAGGGACTAAAGCTCAAGCGACAAGTCAACTTGATTAGCGGAATTACTTTAATCATTGGTACTATGATTGGTTCAGGAATATTTATATCGCCGAAAGGTGTCTTGCTAGGTTGCGGCTCGATTGGTTTAACTTTATTGGTTTGGACTGGTTGTGGTTTGATTGCTTTAGGTGGCTCCATCAGCTATGTCGAATTAGGCACAATGATTAACATGTCCGGTGCTGAATATGCTTATATTTTGAAAGGCATTGGTGAATTACCGGCATTTCTCTTCGCGTGGACATCCATTATTATTATTAAGCCATCGACAGCATCTGCAATTGCAATGGCCTTTGCCGAATATACAACGCAGCCATTCTTCCCCGGTTGCTCACCGCCTCCATCGATCATGAAACTATTAGCCGCATTTTGTATCGGTAAGGTTAATTTATTACTGATTAATCAAATGCTGTAAAATCCATTGACAATTTCTTGTCAAGTCCACTTCTATTGCGCTTTTTTTTATAACCGTTTGCCTCTTTCAATGAATGACATTGAAGATATTGCATCATTCCTATCCAGTTGATTGTTGTTCGAGAGTTGTATAAAAAAATCAATAATAGGTTTACAAGACCATGAGAGAGCTAGCCAAATTACATATTTTCCTCTATTAGCCTAGAACTAAGTATGTCGTCTAACCATTTGGATTCTTGATCATTCCGGTTTCCTAGTAGTAGTAGTAGTATTTTCATATCAATTTATCAAAAAATTCGTTTTATTCTACTATCCTTAATACATCAAATGAGTAGACAAAGTTTACAGTACAAGAAACGAGTACAGAGAGTTAGTCGGAATAGATCTATCCTATCGAGCCCAAACTTGTTGTGACATGATCTAGATTTATCGCAGTTATAGCTCTAACTATTCTACTGTACACAGCTGAAGGATATCAAATTGATTGATGTTCTAACAGATCGGGATAAACATCTCACTGACAAATGTGACGGAATTCAATGTTTTTATAACATCTGTCTAGCTAATTTTATAGAAATCTTTTAGCATAATAAATATCATGCTAAATTGAGACTCAATGAGGAATAAAAGACTTAGTGGAAAATTTTAGTCGTATGTTACTGGGTATGAAGCAACCAATACAGAAGGTAGAAAGTAAATTATTGCATAATCAGGGACTGACCGACAAAATGGATGCATTCGTTACATCAAAATGAAGCAGACTAGAGAATAGGGGTATTCAGAGGTCAGAAAAAAATTACTACACAATTAAGAATTGCTAATAAAATATAGTACAGTAGATAGTGTATATCTATAACATTATTGAAATAGATTGTGTAGACTAAAAGATAGAAATATTCAGAGATGGGGAAGGAATTGCTTCTACAATTAAGTTGCTGACAAAATGATTATGTCCGTGATATTAACATGGGTACCGGTATGTTGACTGGAAAACAGGAATTAGAAAAGAATTATTGGAGAATCTAGGATTAGTGATAAAATATAATGTAAATATATCTGTAATATTGAAATAGAGCATGAGATTAAAAACAGGAATATTCAGATTAGAAAGGAAATTATTGAATAATCAAAATATTTTACCGACAAAATATAGTATATATCAGGAGTGTTTAAATAAAGCTATTGTCTAGAAAATATAGGAATATTTCAGAAAATTAAAAAGATCATTTTTGTATAGTTAAGAATTCACCGGTGAAATGTAGTAGATATTTCAATAATATTGAAATAGAATATATTGTCTAGAAGGCATTACAATACTTAGAAACTAAAACGGAAATTATTGTTTTAATGAAGAATTCACCGATAAAAATGAATGTATCTGTAACACTGCATTAAAATAGAGTACTGCATATAGACTAAAAAATAGGCGTAGTAAAGCTCTAATTTAATGACATTTTAGCGCCTAGTAGTCAATGTTTAGCATCGAATGCCGCATGTAGGCTAAAAAGCAGCTGTAGTAAAGCTCTAATTTAATGACATTTTAACGTCTGGTAGGAAGTATTCAAGATCGAATAAAAACTATTTCGGCGTTTGGTCTATTTCAACATTATGATCGATATCCATGTTATCGCCTAGTTTTTGATCAAAGCAATTTCTTCTCTCGCTTTCACACCTTTACAATTAAATATGGGTACCCAACATCCAATAGAAAAGGATTAAAATTGGCTACTTCAATCATAAATCCATTTCTGTATTATATTTACTATAGTCTGTCCATTTTATCGCTTAATTATTGATTATCATTTCCTCTAGCTCTCCTAGTTTCAATATTAGTGTTAAGTGGTCCCGATAAACGCTCACTTAGTAACCACATAACTTAAGATTCTACTACTCTTCTGTACTCATTTATTAGCACTAAAATGGTACATTTATTTGTCACTTATCCGATAGTCAGTGATTGTGATTTTCTCTCCAATATTCATATAATTCAACACTATACCTGTCAAATATAGAATAAAATTTACTATTCATTTTTGTTTCGTTTATTTCAAAATTATTTTAGTACGTCAATTTTTGTTACTTCATTATGAAGTATAATTTCTTTTCTCACTTTTATTGTTAGATACAGTCTCTAGGGTCTGTTAAGAACTTCAACTTTGCAATGATATAAATTAAAATTTTAGTATTCGTCCTTTAAGCCTATTTTAGCAAAATAAGAAGTTCTTTTTTATTATCTTGTTGTTGTTAAATCCTTTCCGCTTCGAATTGACAACGGTTACCAACTCTATGTGGAAAGTTTATAAAATTTTCAACTCTAACCCTTTTTTAAACCTATTTCAGCTATTTTACTGCTCCCTTTAGATTTATCAGCGTCTGTTTTATTACTTACTGGTTTAAATTTTTTCTTCGATACTGTACTTATGAAACGTTCTAATCTTACATTAAAATAGCTTATATTAGCTATTGAATATAAGGGGTTTAAAGGCTAGATATATCACGGCTTTTAGACCGAGCAGTATGAGTAGTTCATCGTTAGTATCAAATTTGATTTATTTCATCACGATTACTATTAATTTTTTCGTCATATTTTATTATTCCCGTATAGCTATATTATAGCTTAATTCCTGGCTGTAATTTCCAGAAACTATCTACCTGCTACATAGCTGAATACCTTATTTAGCCATGAAAATAGTTTACATTGGCTTTTGAACATCCGACGTTAAAGATCAAGATTTAGCTAAATTTATTATCCCATTTTCTTTAGTAGTACTATTGGCCTTGATTAGGCTTGACCTAGAATTTCTAGATTACTTGTTAGAACTCTTCATACCATAATACTGAATGCACGGTGAGAAGCTTCTTTTGTAATAGTCAATTCGCTATTAGCTTTCTTTATTGCTACTTTTTCCGAGTTAGCAAAATCTGAAATCTCTGAACTATAGTTTAAATCCACGAAAATATTGATAGTTTGATAAAATTAATCAAAATTTATTCTCAGATTTCCTGAGGGTAATAATCTACCGCCGGCCTTAATTAGTTTGATAGTCTTGCAGAAATATTCTTTTTTGTATCATAGGGCTTTCTTAATACAATGATCTACTGCTTACATGCATAGGAGAGATTTCTGCGATTTAAATCTTAAAAAGAATTTACATTAGGCTTAAACAATTCGATAGAGAATAAGGAAAGTACGGTGGCATATTGTACATTGACAGTCCATAGTCGATTTTTTTATTTATATTCTGGAATTATGCTAGTCTTGTAGCTACTCTATATTTTATTTATAAACATGGAAAATCTGCTATTTATAAATCAATAATTATAGCAGTTACTCTACTGTAAGCTCATTTCTTGTTATTACTCTTACCAGAGTGTTACAATGACAGAATATTTACTACATTTATCATCTTTTATCTTGCAATCAGATGTTCAATTATATAGGACATATACTCGTATTACATGATCGTAAAGTTAGCCATGCAACCTTTGTTTATTAAATATCCTTACAATATCCTCTGCAGTTAAAACCGGGAGTAATTATGTTATTCGTAAACAACAGTTGCAAGTAAACTAAAATCTATAACAGTATGTAGTTTTCTTTACTACCGTGTTTACTTAGATTTTAGTTTATGAATAATTTCTAAATATCCTTAGTGGGTAGCCAAGCGAGGGGCGTAGTAATTGTTTTATTCCGTTTTACATGTTGATGAATATGTAAACAGTGTTTATCATTACCAATTAATTTCACTACACCTTTTATCATCCAAGAAAGTAATTTAATAGGTTATTCAAAATTGAATTGATATTAAAGGAAGGGTTTTAAGGCACACAAAGTCAATAAGTACTTTACTACCAGTACCACTAAGCATTATCTTGTTCTATCATGATTGCTGTTATCATTCGACTGCTTATCTAATACTATCTAATTTTGCTATTGTATTTATTATGTACTGTACCATCTTATCATCATCATGACAAAGCAAAAATTTTCTCATATTAACCTACCATGAGATATTATAGTATTAAAAATTAATACTACGATAATTATCGAATCATTTTATTGACATGCAACCTTGGATAGATTCTCCCCTTAGTAGAATAGCCAGCAAGTTTTCACTTATTAAAATTCTTACATTCGGGAGAATATTTTGATTGCGATGATAGACATTCACTCTTCATCTGATATAGAGGTATTTCCAGTGCCAATTTGTATTCTTGATCGTTGGATCAGTGCATGACAAATTAATTTATAAAATTAAAATTAAAAGACTCATCCGATAATATTCAATCAATAAATATTAGAAGTGATTCGATTAGGTTTGTACTTTACAGTATAAATATATCTTCTACTATCGGTACCGTAACTAGGTTAAGAAAAAATTTTAGCGATTGATGAGTTTAAAGGCGCTCAGAATTAATTTTAAAGCTAAATAGAGTTTAAAATACATACTATACGACTATTGAGCTATAATGAATGAATCAGTAATCTATAGCTTAAAGTTCTTTTCTCTATTAAATGTAGCTTAATTGAATTAAAATGCCATATATTGCTGTGATGAGTAAAGAAATATTCAAAATCAATTTAAAGCTGAAAGGGAATTTGAAATACTTCCAGTAAACAAAATGTGGTTCTTTATGATCTTTTAATCAATCTATTCAATAAAATTAAAGATTTAGCCCATAGGAACAAGCAGTCTATAAGCCATATGCAAACTGATTAAAGTTATAAATTGATCATTTATGTAACATTTCCCTACAAAGTTGATGTAGTAAATTTAGAATTTTGTCGGCACGACCGGCATAAAAGTATTTGAAATCGATTGATCGTAAACGCTATACCGATCCTAAGCTCAAAGATATTTACAAATAGGACCGAATCCACAGTATAAAATATTGAAATTCATCACTCTATCAATCCTATATTATTCATAAAGAACTGTTTATTATATAATAAATAAATAATTGATGTTTTACTTATCAATATGCGGGTAGCTATAAGATCGTTGAAAAGGTCTTTCCGTAACTGTTTAAGCGTATAAGTAGAGCAGTGTCGATGGTTAACAATTTATCATGCTTTTTTATATATATATATAATCCTCTACATTGTATGACTTATTTTTATTAATTGTAAAAAATATCCCCTTACGTATACGTAATTCTTCTTTTGTTCTTGTATCATAACTATAATTATAGAAGAAAATTGATTAACAAAGTTGTTTAAGTAGTCGAAATTTATAATATATGAAGAAATTCTGTGACCTAGTTATAATTCTTTAATGAGCATTCATTTTTCTATGCAATATTAATATTTAATTTACTTTCTAGAATAACATGCAATAATTGTACACAGAAAGTCAATAAAATAAACCCTTTGTATAGTACCTAAGGGATAAAGTGGCTGCTTAAATGATCAGTTGTGGATTTTTAATCTTAACTTCATGATCTCACTTTATAGCTACCATTGCGTTCATCAATTGCTATAGTGTTAAATGGGCAACGAAATTGCAGGATATTTTTACCGTTGCCAAGCTGATTGCCGTATTTGGGTTAATTATTATTGGATTTGTGGAATTGGGGCGAGGTAAATATATTATAGCTATAAATTTGGCTTACAAAGTTGCTACTAATTCTCACCTCCGAAATATAAGTACGGTGCAACATTCTTCCTCGTTGTAAATTAAAAAGTAATAAATATAAATATTGGATTAATATCACCAGAACTGATAAAGAATTGAAATAAAATATCTATATCTATCAAGTTACAACTAATTATCGAAATGATGAAGGTGTATTGAATCGCCTCTTAAAATTAATATAGGGAGAGTACAAAATTTTCAAAGCAGCTGGGAAGGTACCGAGACTAATGCAGCCGTTGTTGCTCTTGCATTTTATCAGGGATTATGGGCCTACGATGGCTGGTATGTTTAAAATAAAATTTATTAATTTGCCATTAATACGTGATTGTATGAAATTTCATTTGGTATTATGTTGATCTTAGGAATAACTTAAATTTTGCTATCGAAGAGCTAAAACAACCGCAAAGGTAAGAACATGTTGAATTTATCATTGATATTTTTTCATTTTTCTTATCAAAATAGGTATTAACATTTTTATGGTAGCGAAGTAATAGAATAACTTAAAATAGCAAATGATGACATTTATATTGATCCAATGGTAAGCTTTACCACTATGATGATTGATGTATTCCTACTTAAATTTATAAACTAATAGAAATCTTCCTCGTGCGGCCTTGATTGGTATCCCTCTTGTAACGGTTATTTATATCACCGTTAACGTTACTTATTTTACTGTTTTAACAAGACAAGAGATTCTAGAATCGGCTGCAGTTGCATCGGTTAGTACATAATAATATTGCCGTCAGTTATCAAGGATATTATTTTTAATTTATACTTTCTTTACTATCGATTCTAGTCTGTTGCTGATCGAATTATTGGCCAGGTACCTTGGCTAGTACCCATGTTTGTTGCATTCTCAACATTTGGTGCATGTAATGGAAGTTCTTTTGGGGCAGCCAGGTATATGGATACTTTTCTTAAGATTGATTATTATATGCATACGACAAGCGATAATATTTTAATAAAACTCTATTCTATCTATCGTCGATTAAATTCTCTATTAATCGATAAGTATTTTTGGAATCTATTTGTATAGATTGAATTTCGTTGCTGCTCGTCGAGGTCATTTGCCTAAAGTGCTATCTATGATTCAAAGAGATAGATTAACTCCAATGCCTGCAATAATCTTCCAAGTAAATTAGCAGCTTTTTTCTCTATTTATCGCTGCTGCACCTAAGCGACTCCAAATGATTAAATCAATTGCTTATTTTTATTTATAATAGGCCTTCATATCCATCATATTATTGATTCCAAACGATTTCAATTCCCTAATCAATTATTTCAGTTTTTCTGCATGGCTATTTTATGGCACCACGTTTGTAAGCTTAATCGTCTTGCGTCGACGAATGCCTGATGCAGATCGTCCATTTAAAGTTAGTTAACGATAGTGTAGCCATAGGAGGAATAATCTCATCAATTTTTGTCAATTCATCGATAATGACTTTACTTTATAAGAAAGAAAATGCTGGTGAGCTTGTTAGCTCTCTACTTAGAGTATCATCGCGGTCGTGCTTTCGAAATGTAATAATATTCTGTGCTAATATATGAATTAATTGTCTTTCTAAAAGGTTTTTATAATAATTCCAATGATAATGGTTGGAATCGCTTGCTATTTGGTTATTGCTCCTATTGTTCAAGCCCCTGTTGAAGCTTTAATTGCCAGCATATTTATTATAGCTGGAATTCCAGTTTATTATGCTTTTATTCGTGGATACTTTAAACCGAAAGTTTTGGTCGAGTATTCAGGTACTGATGGACTAACTACATTAGCTTCTTTATCTCTAGAACGTTTAGCTTATTTAATCCAGTTGTATAGGGTTATATTGATTAAGTGAAGATATTTGATATGATTTTGCTTTTAGAGCTTAATGTTTAAATTTAAATTTTTTAAATTGATTTTATATCTTATTTACATATTTTTTAGACCGATTTACACTTCTAGTGCAGAAATTATGCATCATTGGGGAATCTGCAGCGTTCGAAGGCGGTGAAAAGTGAAATGTCGTAATAACTACTTTCGTTAACAGGACGTAGAGGATTATATGTGTTTTTAGTAAATGTTGATCGTCTTTGTTAGCTTTTAAAACGAGTTAGTATTGTAGTCGTAGGATTGTTAGATAAATACTTAGTCATTTATAATATATGAAGATAGCAATAGGTTAGAAGCAGGAATTAATTGCATTGATAGAAAGGTATAAGGAAAATTTCGATTGCAATCGTAAAACCAATTACGATTGTTGTGTATTGCTTTCTATGTTAAAATTTGTGGTGGCATGGGAAGTGATATATATATTAAAGATAATTTTTAGTGCTTAATAATGGTCAATTTTTCTGTGTTAAAAGAAGAATTCAAACGATTGACATAAATTATTATAAATATAATATAATAGATTTCATTATGACTTATTGGAATAAATAAGTTTTTAATCTAATTAAAGTAATGATGATATTCATTTTAATTCATATGAATCACTATGAAGTACTCGGTGGTAGCCATATTACATGGCAGGGATAGCAAATTACTACAATTTTAATATCTTTATCGTATTCTCTTATCGAGCTAAAAATTCGAAAACATAGCTAAGATTATGTTGCTATAATTTGTAGAATAACACAAGTTTTAACGGTAAACGATAAATATTGCATTAGATCTAGCGTATTGTAATCGCATATCAGTTTATGATGATTTATCATCGCAGTGATGGCAATTTTTATAAGAAAATTGTTCTCTGTAATTGGTATGTAAATATCTTGCTTTATATATTGCATCATCCTGATTTTTCAGTTAGATGCTAATCTTGAGTTTTTATGATAGCATCTATTATGCAATAAAATAGATAAGGTATTATAGGGTACTTGTGGATAAAATTTATTGCCAAATATAAATTGTTGAGTCACTGAATAAAATCGCATACGATAATATGACTTGCAGCATAGATAATATTGTATCTTGTAAATTAATTTAATTCGTTTTTTCTTATAAAGTTTAATTAAAGCTAACATGTAAAACAATTGAAGCTATGTTAAAGCAAAGGCGCATATATAATTACTAGATGTAGGAGGGATTGATCAATCATCCTTGATTGATACTTTATTTTCAGTAACAACAATAAAGTCTACAATTTCTAAAACTGTCGCTGCTAATTAGCTTACTGTGAGTCATGCAATAATATATGCAAAAGGCCATTAATTTTAATTCAGTAATGGAAATTAAACTATGGTGACTTCCTGGAATAGAATAGTAGATTAAGAACAATATATGATATATTGTAAAAAAAGCATACAGAAAATTTGGTATGGACATTATCAACTTTCGCAACAAGTAGCCAAGTATTTTTTAACATTGCAATTAATAATCTTAGTTGATGTAATCGACTCATAATGAACATCAACTCTCCTCTTTTGCTGTATCGACTTCATTAAGTAGGCGCTGTACTCGTTCCTATAAACAGAAATTATAATCTTGATATTGCGGTAATTTTACGATTACTTAAGAAGTTATTGCGAATTCCTTAAACTTTACGTACAGATAAGGCTTGTTGTTTTGAGTCCCTTTTCTTTTGTCCTTTTGAGATTGGTCCTGGTCGGCCATCTAATGTTGCATGATGGTAAGAATGTATAAGAACCAGGATTATTAAATAGATTAAAAGCTTCCCAATTTTACGGTATTATCGTTAAACAGTAGCTTTAATAAAATCGTCCTTATGATAGTGTAGTTGTGTGTATAACGTATATAAGTATTAGCAATAAGTATAGTACACGTATGGATAGATTGGTTGTTTAATCTACAGCTCAATGTGATTTCTTGTTTCGGATATTGATTCTGGTAATTGTATAAAATTCGCAGTATTAGATTGATTTTTGTGAAAGTAAGTCTATTTTACCTGCATAAGACCAGTCCGGTAATTCCGTTAACGGACCGTATTCGTTGCCACTTCGAGGAAGATTTCGTCTATGGTTTAATGAAACAAATTGTATGCTAAGTGGATTCCGGATGTTCCACATGGATCTCTCTACCATTTTTCATTTTATTTACTATAATTTAGGTGTAATAACGATAATATGATTGAATCAGAAATTACAAACCTAATTCGCCATTTTTCTCCAGCGCTGTGACATGATGTTGTGGATAGCATTCGAAATCGCTGCAATACTGGGAGCGAAATTCTAACAGTTTGCATGGCTTCGATGTAAGGTGATTCCTAGTTAAAAGTTACATGGTTAACAATTCGCTTTTATATTGATAGATTCCCTAGCGTACATCATTTCAGAGTATCGATAATATTTATGCCAGCATAAAAGGATAAGCTGATTATGACATGGTTAACAGTTCACTTTTACATCAATATATTCCAAGGCGTGCATCGTTTCAGAGTATCGGTAACATTTATGCCAGCATAAAAGGATAAGCTGATTATGACATGGATAATAACTCGCTTTTATATTGATATATTTGATGGCATGCATCATTTCAGAATATCAGTAATATTTATGCCAGCATCAAAGTAATAGGATCGTATCTATACTATTCGATGGGTTATGATCGATTATGGCATTATTTTAACATTTGTAACTGTAGGAACATTATAAGAGTGTAGTTATTGCATCATTTCAGAATACGGATAACATGCGTATACCAGTATGGAAGTCATAGGAGAGTTGAATTAATAGATTTTATTGCTGTAAGGGAGTGTTTAGTAATATGTCTGGATAGGACTAAAACGGAGCTTGTTTTCTTTCTCCTTAGCAAAATAATCTTCTAATTTATGTGTACTCTTCATTCGGACTTTAGCCGTAACAGATCGATATCGCAGTGATAACATGGTTATACGCGCGCGTATCTGCATAGGATTGGATGAGCTATGATAGAGCGTTCTAATAGTTGTATAAGTATTGGATATTATGGCGTTGGATAATGGAGACGCGTTTTTAAAACACTTACATTTGCTACAACTATAGCAATATGAATCGTTTCAATATATTGATAATATGCATGTCAGTATTGGAATAGCAGCATTTGATCGTGTCTTTATACCATTGATGCGATTGTGTATAACTGTAGTAACATCACTACTGCATCGTGTAGAACCTTTTTCGAAATATTGGTAATACGTATGTATGTTAGCATCAAAGTAGTTGCCTTGAAAGTATCTTTATGATATTTAATGAGTTACGATTGAGGGCTTGTAATGATTATACGAGCACCGGGATATTCTAGCGTTTGATGATGGAGTCAATAAGGATTGCAGATGCATTGATGTACAGCTGTAGCAACATGATTGAATCATTTCAAAATATTGATGATGATATGCATGTCAGTATTGCAGTAACAGCATTGATTGTGTCTTTATATCATTCTGTAGGTTATAGTCGAACATTTCTAATTTGTTGTATAGCTTGGCAATATTAGCATTTGATGATTGGATCTACGGAGATTCTTGATGCATTCGTATATAACTGTAGAATCTTTTCAAAATATTAGCAATATGTATGTCAGCATCGAAGTAGTTGCCTTGAATGTATCTTTATGACATTCAATGAGTTACGATTGAGGGCTTGTAATGATTGTACGAGCATTGGGATATTCTAGCGTTTGATGATGGAGTCTATAAGGATTGTAGATGCATTGATGTACATTGTAATAGCTGTAGCAACATGATTGAATCATTTCAAAATATTGATGATGATATGCATGTCAGTATTGCAGTAACAGCATTGATTGTGTTTTTATACCATTCCGTGAGCTATGGTCGAGTATTTCTAATTTGTTATACTGTACTGTATAAGCATCGGGTATTAGCGTTTACTGATCAGGCACGGTATATGCGAGCTCCTGTTGCATTGGTGTATCAATATGGCTTCTGCATCGCTACTGAATCATTTCAAAAATATTGGCAATATGGACATCAACGTCGAAACAACAATACCGAATGTATTCTGATTGCTAAGCTACCATGGAGGTCTAATATGGACGTCAACATGGAAACAACAATACTGATTGTATCCTTATGGCCTTCCTTAAGTTACAGTATAATCCAGCCTATGTAATTTATTGTACAAGGCTGTAAAGTGTGATTAGCTATGCAACGAAGGATCTGACGCTACCCTAGCATACCTAAAATTTCGATCAGGATATCCTTATGGCCTTCCTTAACTTACAGTATAATCCAGCATATGTAATTTATTGTGCAAGGCTGTAAAATGTGATTAGCCTTGCAACGAAGGATCTTACGCTACCCTAGAATACCTAAAATTTCGATCAACGACTGCTGCAGGATATCCTTATGCCCTTCCTTAACTTACAGTATAATCCAGTATATGTCAATTTATTGTGCAAGCCTGTAAAATGTGATTAGCCTTGCAACGAAGGATCTTACGCTACCCTAGCATACCTAAAATTGCGATCAGGATATCCTTATACCCTTCTTTAACTTACAGTATAATCCAACATATGTAATTTGCTGTGCAAGCCCTGTGAAATGTGATTAGCCTTGCGACGAAGGATCTTGCACTACTCTAGCATACCTAAAATTACGATCAATGACTGCTGCAGGATATCCTTATACCCTTCCTTAACTTACAGTATAATCCAGCATATGTAATTTATTGTGCAAGCCTGTAAAATGTGATTAGCCTTGCCACGAAGGATCTTACCCTACTCTAGCATACCTAAAATAACGATCAATGACTGCTGCAGGATATCCTTATACCCTTCCTTAACTTACACTATAATCCAGCATATGTAATTTATTGTGCAAGCCTGTAAAATGTAATTAGCCTAGCAACGAAGGATCTTACGCTACCCTAGCATACCTAAAATTGCGATCAGGATATCCTTATGCCCTTCTTTAACTTACAGTATAATCCAATTTATGTAATTTACTGTGCAAGCCCTGTGAAATGTGATTAGCCTTGCAACGAAGGATCTTGCACTACCCTAGCATACCTAAAATTTCGATCAATGACTGCTGCAGGGTATCCTTATACCCTTCCTTAACTTACAGTATAATCCAGCATATGTAATTTATTGTGCAAGCCTGTAAAATGTGATTAGCCTTGCAACGAAGGATCTTACCCTACTCTAGCATACCTAAAATTACGATCAATGGCTGCTGCAGGATATCCTTATACCCTTCCTTAACTGACACCATAATCCGGCATATACAATTTATTGTGCAAGCCTGTAAAATGTGATCAGCCTTGCCACGAAGGATCTTACCCTACTCTAGCATACCTAAAATTACGATCAATGACTGCTGCAGGATATCCTTATGCCCTTCCTTAACTGACACTATAATCCAGCATATGCAATTTATTGTGCAAGCCTGTAAAATGTGATTAGCCTTGCAACGAAGGATCTTACCCTACCCTAGCATACCTAAAATTGCAATCAACAATTTTTGCAGAGATATTGCGGAGGTCTTGTAAGCTAGCCACTTGTACCTTTACACGCAGCTTTTACGATCGGCTTTTTCTCTTCCAAGAGTTAGAACAGTCTGCAACACCGCTGTAGGACAAGGATTAAAGCGAAGGGATGGCTTCTAGCTGCTCTTGAGAGTGGATTGTGCAGCGGATTGCTAAGCTACCATGGAGATGCTAGCTTGGTGTTGGCTTGTGATGGTAGCACGCCTCTATCCAGACGCTATAGAGACTGCGTAGAGGAAAGTCGAACATGCGACACTAGACTGTCGATTCTACAGCGTTGAAAATAGGCATCATGATTAATGGTGCATCTCATACATGGCATTGCGTTCGAGTTGGTTGATCGGCGTCTAGACCCCATTTTGAGTTGAAACACTTGCTGATTTTGAGCGTTTTCAGTATCAACTGTAAAAGGGGCGATATAGAGCTCCGCCGTAACGCTATAGTGTAGAACTTGAGGCCTCGTATCCAATAGGCATTTCAGCAGAGTTTACAATGGAATAGACTGTATCATAGCTCATGTATCATACAATAGATAGTCCTTTTTGCCTGTCTGCTATTGCATACAAATGATAGTATACATGCTGAAACATCCAAGATACCATCAAGAGACAGTATAAGATCGAAGACGAGAGAGAAAGTGGATCCCTTCAGTGCAGAAAAGATCCGCCCAAGCTCCAAATTTCTGCCGGACGATTTCTTCCTTTCCTGCCTGACTTTGGTGGAATTTTGCCTTATTCCATTGGATTTGCATAGTATACAGCCCAACAAGGATGCAGTGCTACCAGAATCTACGCTTGTAAGTCTATCTTAGTCTATCAATGGATTATAAAATGAATGCAACATGGCGCAAATGATCGTAGTCCATAAATCTTACATCAGCAGCTTGCATGGCGTCCACTTGGACAATTATGGATGTTGATTTGACAACTTGATTTTCATCATCATCATCATCATCGTCATCGATTACATCATCGACAAGTAGAGTAGAGACAAGGCTTAAGCAATTTGTTTATCAATAGAAAGTGTTAGGGTACGATTTCCTACATCGTGTGTAGGTTAGGATGGAAAATGGACGCATTACCATCCATGCCAATCGGTGAAAAAGGATAAGCAATATCAATCGTCCGTTCTTTTGACCAATTGACCAATCCATCAGGACGTCAATGAATCACAGACTGATGGCTAAAATCGACTGGTATTTTTGCATTAGATCGGATCTGTATGTCTTAGCCATGGTTTACATACTGTTATCATGGATGGTGATAGCCTTTCATGCTTGCTATGTACGCCAAAAGTAGTCTGCCTAGGTTGGACGATATTGATATTCAACCGGTGTAAAATCAATAGGAAATCAGTTCCTATTGATTTTACAACTATCGAAGAAAAAATAGAATGTTGACAATAGGAGAGAAATAGACAACATCACAAGTTAAGAAAGATCTCCACCACTGTTTGATGTGATCATTCCGTTCATACAATTAATCCAATTACCCTATAGACATTAGTATCTACTTCTTCAAATATAAAAGATAAATATATGTAATCTATTTCTTCTTGTACATGCAGTGGATTGATCATTCTGAATTTTACCATTTCTTAACTATGACGCTATCGTCCATTGATTCATTTTCATTTTATACCGAGTATCAAGACTCCATGCTGATGATGGCTCATATTTTATTGATAAAGGATTACTTGCCTTGTATCTAATGCATTTTCAATGTATTTCTACTATTAAATATTTCAAGGACCCAATGGATCGTTTTCTATTACTTAATCTCTCTATTTTCATTGTGTATTACAGGTATATCGCTGACGATAAATTCTATGTTGAGCCTCGCGATGGCAAAGGCCCTATGGCCAAAATGTTGGAAATTGATAGAATAAATGGAGATATGAGATTAGTAGGTTGGTCGTTAGTAAACCATTTAGTTATTTCTCCATCCATAATAAAGAAATTGCATAGCCGTGAAGATATGCAGTTGGCAACAAACTAACCTATCTCTACCACTATTTTACCATCGTATTAGCTGACATGAACTGTAGTATTAATTGCCAACAGAATAACTATATTATCCTTTCTCTACAGTATTGAATAGATGTTGTAGTCCATTGCAATAAAGTAATGAAATATTCAAACATTTTGTTACAGAAAATACTGGAGAAATACCTGGTAGTGTAACATCCAAAGAAATTTTTGGTATATTTGGTATCATCCACTTAATTTCTTGTAAGAATTCAATAGTATTAATGTAACTAGATGAAGTGAATAACATGCAATTCAAATGTTTGAGATTAAAAATTTATAGAGGTTGCCTTTTCGAGAATTAGTGTCTTTCTTGATGTTATACATATATCATGTAGCTGTCATTGATTAGAATACAATTTTAATATAGATCTTGGTGTTGATTGTCTAACTGCATTGGAACGTTATTGTCCAGATATTTCATCGATGTAAACCAGCCATTTCATACTATTAGTAACTGTTGCATATTATAGATACAGTTTAGAAGATCATCGTTCAGTATCCTTAGTGAAGCTAAATAATACTTTCGATTACTGTTGTTAAGTTACAAAGACTGACATAGAATGAAGTTGGTACTATTCAATTTCTGATAATTAAATTTATCAACCAATTATGGATAATAAAAATGTCGCACAATTATACTCTCAGTACTGTACTGTTATTAATTATTACTGCAGTGATGCTTATATTTCTTGATGCCTAAATAAGTATGTATTTTACATTTATTATTATGCGCACATCATTAATTTTTGTTTTGTTAATTCAAATTTTTCCATAACTTAATTAGGTCCATATCTTATTATCATTACTGGAAGAAGTCGCATTGGTGATATTAATGGAGAGACTATTTGGAAAATAAACAAATTAGAGGTGCTATCGTTTAGAAGAGGGACCTATCATTTAAATGAAGAGCAGGTACTAGAAATCAGTATTCTGATCACGCTTTTCTAAAAAATTGATGCTTTTGGTCTTGTGCTATAGCAACGATATAATATTTTTTTATTAAACCTTTCAAAAATTACCGGATAAGTTGTACTGTCTCCAGTGATACTACTTGTATTAGTTGACAGTTGTAAAAAGCAAAACTTTTTGATGCTAAAAAATGATTGGGTTCTTATCCTAAAATACTGTTTAGCTTTACACTTGTTTTTAAATTAATAAGAAAGAAAAGGTGTAATTTTTATTTTAAGAAATATTTGACAATTGTTACAATGTTGTTCATTTCCTCACAGCAAAATATAAACAAGCATTACGTCTCTCTACTCGAATATGCATGCAGCATGGAGGGTCTTTACTTTTCATACACTTACGATATTACACACACATTACAACGCCTTCAAAAGACCAGCCCAGAATTTAAAAGTATGGCTTTATATGAAAGGGTATGAAATACGATGATAGAATATCTCAATTTTGTATGACTATTTTTGGTTAATGCGGTTAAAATTATTTACCATTTTCATATTCTAAGCAGAGAAATTAGATCTGTAGCTAATTGATATGAAACCGTGAAGGTTTAATGCTGACATATCTCATGCTTAACCTGAATTTTGTAGGCTGACCATAGATTTGTTTGGAATCTCCACGCTCTAAGAGATCTAATGGCACAACCTGATGTAATTTTTGACCTCATTTTAAGATTTATCTTAGTATCGTCGATCATAGAAATGACCGAGTTATTACATCAACTGTACAATAATGTATAATTAAGTTTACGTAGAAGTGCAGTAAATTATTCAAGACACTGTTATATCTAAGATATTGGATCTCTTTTCATTCAATTTATATAGCTACAACAATATATCTTACCTGTTATGTGTGGCTGTATCCTTGAAATGAAGTTGAGATTTTTAAGTAGTTATAGTTAAAGAGGTTTTTGAATTGCATCTAGCATACTATGTCAGCATAAAGCAAACTTTATCCTTAACAATGGTTGTAGTTGTATTTATTAAAACATGCACTATAAAAAGATACTCTGTCGACATGATATTAATATCAAGGAGGAACATTTTTAGAGTTGGTAAGAATTACTGACGGTTAATTAAAAAATTAGGAAGATGATCCCTTAAATGACTATAAGAGACTTTGCATAAAAGTTCTGTATAATTACTGCAGTTATATCGTAAAACTGAAAGAATTCACTTTTATTATAATTCTAATTATTGTAGGAACGCGGTATTTCACCCGTGGAATCGATGAGGATGGTAATGTTGCAAACAATGTTGAGACTGAACAGGCTATTATCTACAATGGCAATAAATCATCATTTGTTCAAGTTGGTTAAATACTGAATTTCGTAACTGAAAACGATATCCATAGTGTAAAATTTTGACAGCTTACACCGTCTTTATTAGATTCGCGGATCTATTCCTTTATTCTGGAAACAAAGGCCTAATCTGAAATATAAGCTAAAACCAGAAGTGATGGCTGACGCTGATCACGTATGTCGTTGTGTAACTGTAATATTGTTGTTTTGATTTATTTTCTTTGTTTAATTATAAATTATTGAGTATATTTTCTTGACATGTGTTCTTAATATGCACACATTGTAAAATCTGATCCAATTTATTTTTACTACTATTCATTTGAAAATCTTTGATTTATTACTGTCTAGATAAACATATTTTATAGCCAAACTCATACTGCAATCCGCTAATGAATTACATATATGCAATTTACCAGTGCTATTTTGTACTTCTGTTTTACTATGCAGTTGCGTATTTATAAATTTAGCGTACTTCCGCTTTGAAACATGTCAATTTGATTTTTAGGGATTAGCTGCCAGTCGTCACTTTGATCAGCAAATTCTTCAATACGGTCATCAAACTTTAATTGATTTGGTATGTGTCTCAAATACCCTATTTTTATCAAATAAGATTGTTATTTTTATGATGATAGCTGTCTATTTACAAAGATTGACGATTGGGTTGTTTTTAGATTAATCAAACAGGCAGCGAACAGTCTCTGGGTATCGCTTACAAAGGAGTTGTTGAACAAATCAATTATAAAGAAGTGAGGTAAAAGCAATTTAAGCTGTAATCTGAAAAATGTTGTAATTTAATTTAATTGTCTCGGTCAGACTTATGATAAGGTTATAATGTATCATCTGCTGTTAGGTACGAGGCATTCGATTTTCATCATGAGTGTAAGAATATGAAATATGAAAAGCTTTCAATACTATTAGATCGCTTGGAGAGCGATCGAGTTCGATATGGTTATTTTATGGTTCGAAATGATGGATCAGTTGTTAGCGCTCAAACAGGGGCATTCAGAACTAATTGCATTGATTGTCTGGACAGGTAACAGATGTCTAGATCAATCAGTTTTATCTTATAGTTCTTTCTAATTTTGTGCTGTAATATATTATTTCAGAACTAACGTAGTACAAAGTATGTTAGCGCATCTTTCTGTTCAAGATCAACTACAGGTTTTTTGATATCTTTCATAGAGGAGAGTGCTTTATTAAATCAGTTTAGAAATTCTTTAATAAATAAAATTTAATTTAAAATTGAATTAGCGACTGGGGATCTTAAGTAGCGGAGAGAAATTGTCTGATCAGAAAGAATTTCAAAACGTTTATATGAACGGTAAGATTTTCTCAAGTCTAAATTATTTCCATATAATAAATCTGACATTTTATCAAATAAACATTATTTATCATTAACTAGTATTTTATTACATTATGGTATAGCCTGGGCGGACAATGCAAATACTGTTAGTACCCAATACAGTGGAACTGGAGCTTTAAAAACAGACTTTACTCGGTAATCTCTATTACGTATTCTGTCGCTTTAGTTTAACTTTAAGGATCTTTATTGACGGTCCTGATTGAATAACTAATCAACTTATCTATCTCTTCCGACCGTTTATAGAACTGGAAAACGTACAGTTGCTGGAGCGTTCAATGATTTCGTTAATTCTGCTACAAGATATTATAAGAATAATTTTACAGATGGATTTAGACTAGTAATGATGTTTTCTAGCTAATTAAAATTGCATCGTGTTATAGACTATTCTAACACTTTGTACAATTTTTGTTTATGTCTCCTAGGATTCTTTAGCATTACTTCTAGGTACTTATAATGTGAATGTAAGAGAAGGCATTGATTTCCCCTCCCCATTGAAGAAGGGACAAAGACGTAGACTTGTGGTTAGAATTCAATTGTTTTACGTGATCGTTAGTTCATAGATCTTATTGGATAGTGGGTCAAAGTACTGACATTTTTATTTTTGTTTTGATTGTGTAGTTGCCTTTGATAATACTATTTTGCCTTTCCATGCTAATGATATCGCTGGTTATTCCGGAAAGTGAGTCTTAATGTATATTGGCTAATGCTCTAGTAATGGTATACGGATGTATTTACATATCATGAAATCTTGAAAGTCAAGCTACATAAAGGCACTTTTTATGTTATCGTGCACTACGCAGTTATTTTGCTAATATTAATCTAATTGCTATAATTTCATTTTTATTTATGTTAGCAAACTTACAATTACAATTTGGTTACGTCCTTTTTTGGGGTGTTGGCGTTTTGGTTACATTGGGCTTCATGTTTCGTAGTGGAACTGATTTTGTAAACATGCCTTCTCTTGTTTCGGTGTAACAGTTGTTTGTCACCCCTTCACTCACTTAAGTTGATAGATCACGATTTAGATATCTGCATAGTAGTATATTAGTTATATGAAAAGAAATGATAGAAATTTTCAATTTATCGCAGGATTATTATAAAGAAATGTAAGCTGATTTGTTATGCTAGCTTTTCACAGACTGTGGATGCGTATAAATCTTATGGAGCATCAACATCTATTTGTTGTTTAATTAATTAAGTAATTACAGTTACTAATCTTAGTTATTAGTTAATCTGTCAAGTCGTACGTTATGATTATATTTACAAGATAATTCTATTTTATGCTACAGATGGATTTCGTATCACTATTAACCTTAGACACAGCAATTTACACTTTGTTCAAATGAGTTTTTATTAAGATTAAATTTAAAAATGAGAAAATTGTCTCCAAATTTTAAATCTTGTATTCATTTGGTTGGCTATTGATAACAAGTATGACAGTACAAAAGACAGTAACAACCGTAGTCTTTCGTTACGGTATTTCTTAAACTTATAAAGTAAATTAGATTAAAATGTCACGATTATAATGGATAGTTGGTGGAAGAAAATAGCGTATAATCCTAGCATAAATTTCTTCTATACCCACGAAAACAATTCATGAAATTATACGATATATATATTTTTATAGTAAATTCACAGTAGTCGCATCTACTGCATTCGCAGATTAATCATGCATTACCGAGAAGATAAGGTTGCTTGAAATCTGACTTGTAGCTTTCTTTCTCGTTAAGTACATTTAAAAGTGATTGACTTTAACGTTAGCAATGACGATGATAACTGGTATATATATATATATACATTTATCTTCAGAAAAAATGTTTAGAATTTATCGTAAATGCTAGTATGATTGATTTCTTCGTCAAAATATATAAATAAATTTGATTATGTAAACTAATTCCAACAAGAATGCTAAACTGAAGTCATGGGGCTATATTCGAAATCAGGGCTATCGTGCTACCGCTTTCAATTTCTTGACTTTGAAGAGATTTGTTTAGATCAACATAGTTTTGAGATTCATTATGGCGTAGCTTGAATATCTGCACTCAGAAAGGAAATTTAATTAACCCTGAGATTGCACAAACACCCAATTTACGCACAATTACAATCGAAGCTAAGTGATTTAGTGCCAATTCCCTTACGTATTACAGGATAAAAGGCATCTCAAAGTATGAAATTTTAAAATAATCCATTAAAATGTTATTCTTAGATAGGGTGGCCACGTTCTAGTTAAAGTATTTGTTTACCTTAGAGTTAGAGCCCAGAGTTTTTCTATGGTAAAGAATATTGTCTAGGACCTTACCACCTGCCCATTTCTAGATTGTCGTAATCAAAATTGAATTATTTGTTCTTTTAGTTTAGCAAGTAAATTTTTTGTATATGTATATATATCGCATTGTACAGTACATACCGAAGAAAAGAACATTGGAATTTTCTGTCCATCTGGTAATACAATATTAAAATATAATCTTTCCTCCTATATATTGACGTAAAAAGGAGCTTTTCCGTTAGATGGATCTTGAGCTATTTATTCTATGTTTACGCTTTGAACCGGAATTATAATGCATCGAATAAATTACTGTGGCCAGTATTTTCTGAGTAATGTATTGTAATGTTTGCGAAAATTATTCTAGTCTACTAGGTAACATTAAATCAAGATATAATCTTTCTTTAAAGTGGAGTAAGACTCAATCTTTCAGTTAGAATGACCTCGAGCTATTTATCTTTTGCTTCGAATCAGAATCACAATGTATCAGGCAACGAACGTGATCAGGGCTTACTAAATAATGTAGTGCAATCTTTACATTTAAACTAATGTTTTTTACGGGTTGGTGAGTTAGAAATCAGTAATATGTAAGGACATTTAAGATGAATTACCTGTGGTATACTAGAACTTCCGGTTGCTTTCATTTTAAGCTTCATTGCAGAGATAATAGTAGCAGTTTTCTTTCCTTTTTCACTCATGGGCCCTAGATAGGGCATAAACATTGATAGAAACGGATTATTTAATCATTTCAAAACACTGCCAGACTAATTTTGATTCTACCATTTGGCTAGAATGATATACCAAATTGGATAATTTGTAAATAGCTAACGAATAAACGTAAAGTAGTAATGTGTTAAAGTAGAGTGATATTGTTTATTGACCTTTTCTCTTATTAGTACCGGTGTTAGTGTTTACATTTATTTGAGGTTTAATTTGTATTTTATTATCTTTCTTCAAGTTGATGCAATTATGATCAAGTTGATTTCGATGCCTAATCATTTGATATGATGGTTTCGAAAACAGTTGTATTAGATGAGATATTATTTTAACTTTTATAGGAACTCTAATATATAGTGCTGTTGGTAAGGCAAAACTTACTTGAGACAAAATAATTTCTTGCAATCTTCACATTCTACCCATACTGTTGAAATTTGATTGCAATCATTCATAGAACACTTCGATTCGGATAATAGTTGACTAGGAAGTGTTTCTAGCACATTATCAACCTGCACAGACATTTAAAAAGTTTCAGTGGGATATAAAAATATCTACCTGTATTCAAGTCGGTAGTTGTTCAGAAATATACTTCAAGCACTAACAAGTTAAGAAATGATAAATTACAACTATTATTATACGTCGTCTGCCATTGGTAATATGAAAGAATGTATGGTAAATGTAGTTAAGAGCAATCATTTGCAATAATACTGTAGGAGAGCTGGTAAAGTAGTCTTTCATTATTAGCACAATTTTTGCTTATGCAATTCACATATTGTCTGTATCAGCAGTAAGATCATGAATTTATTACACGTAATCCAATTACAGAAGTCCAGTCGAATAGATAATACTAGCAACCAATATTTATCTGAAGATTAGAATTTAAGTACGTCCAATAGCTATTTTTTGATCATATCTATACAAATAGAGCTCTTTTAAAGCTAAATCAACAGTAGATCCAGATAACATGCTGTATATGAATTAAAATCATATTCCTTTCAGTGAACAAATGCTTGAGTCTGTCTAGCCTAATTGATGTCTTAGTATTTAAAATAAATATTATTGATAAAAACCTGATTTGGGCATTGATGAGTATCGAATTGGATGTGATCCTTGCTAATTGATTTGAAGAAAGAATATGTACTTGAATGTAGTGAAGCTATTGGATAAGTTATTGTTGTCAGCATGTTATATAGAAGTAAATTAGATATAACTTAAATATAATAATACCACATCTAGGGCTGTTGACAGTAATTAATAGGTATATATAAGCAATGTTTATGATCATTCAAGTATATTGATTTCAGCTTCATAGAATGCAATACTAATGATAGAAATTTCGTTCTCCTACTAAATTCCATAAGTGTTGAGCGATCTTTATTCGCAATCTTTATGTTCTAAACAGGTTAGGTAATGTATTGTATCTATCTACGTTTTCTTCTGTTGTTATTGTTCTTAGTCCTTCTTTTCTAAGATTTGCTGTTGTAAGAAGTCTTTCCTTGTCTGTTAGAGCTTGTTGTACTATTACATCGTATCTCAATCGTTAGAGAATCAGTAATAAATCTGTTACAGTATTATAAATTCTTGTAAGATTTACACGCTGAATGGAGTTACCATAGTAGAGCAGATTTTGTTATAATAAAGAAAAGTAACTTTATAGAATTACAGGAAATGATATTCATAAATAAGCGTGAGAGACTACGATGCAGCAGAATACAACATCAAGAAACTGCCATCTTATCCTAGTAACAATAATCATATGAATAGGACGATCTAAGATGATGGAATAGATTTATATTCTACGCTATGATTGAATGATTCTATTACCAGCAGAAAATTTCATTCATTCTTACCAAAATATTGCTGAGCATCTAGGGCATGTAAACGGTAGAAAATCTATAAAATAATGCCAATCAAAGCCTCAATCATGACCATCAGAATGATATTCTATCCAGATGGGAACAATTTATTCCTACTGTGCTCATTTCTGGGCGCAAAATCAAATGGATTGCTAGTTATTTCTACTTACCAAGTCGATTGCATTCCTTCCAATGGCAATGTTGGCCGATATCCATAGTCGAAGTTGTCGAGTGTGGGGGTCCTCTGATCCAGAGCAATTGTATGTGTATATGGGATCTCGTGCAAAGTAAGATGTCACCCTCTTTCTCGTTCTAGTGGTATCATCTTATCTATTCAATATAAAGAGACGCCTGATTCGGTGTAGCGTTGACCTTTCATTTTGCACAGTATTGTACAGTATGGTAAAATTACTACGGTATCGTACACAAAGCTCGTTACTGTATAGTTTATTGCTGGCGTTCCTCAGCAAACCAGCACCTCCAAAAATTCTGGCTAGCTGGAAAGTGCAATCGATTGGTGAAAATGGGCTCCAATGAGTGAATTTATTGCTAAATTGAGAAGATTAGAGGGTAGAACACGTTCAGGAATGTATCATGGATTATTGCTTGAAGCAATTACAGCCTATCTATAGGAAAATTCTAGATCAATTGGTGCTATGGGAAGCTGCACACAATAGCTCCAAGAAATGTCTACAATCTTTGACCAATCTTGCTGATCAACTCCAGGCTACAAGGACTTGCGATCAAAAAGGATTATGGCAAAAAACGCAACTAGGTCAATTTCAAGATTTAATTATCCGTCTAAATTATAAGCAAGTTCAAGCTATGGAAGCCTTGATGAATGCCTTGAAGACTGATTTGTAAGTGACGACCTTGTAATGTGGAGATAGTAAGGGATCCATACTGATCGAGCAAATTGTTTCTTCGTATGTAAAATATCTCTATAGGTCAATTAGACACATTGATACTGTGTTCACGTATTATATATACATATATAGAGTCAAAATATAGTAGATCCTTGTGGATCTTTAGTATTTTAATAGAGATAAGTATATTCGAACTCTCTTTAATAAATGGATGGATTAGACTAGCACTTGACGAAGATGATAAAATTAATAAAATGATTGATGATCAAATTATAGTAAATACTTATAAGCGTTTGAATATATATCTATTCCAAGGAAGATGATCGTATTGCTACTCTCTTTAATGAATATACAGTACAGACTAGATTAACTATTGGTTGTAGATAATTTGCGCAAGTTGATACGTCTAGTCGATCAGAATTGAAACAAAAATCATTGCACTAGTTATGGTAGTATGAGTTGCCTATCGTCTTGCAATGACAGTAAATCAATTTCCTTAATTGGTTATGTATTATAATTTATCTCAAAACATTAATAAAAGTTATCTATTGTAAAATAAATACATGCATGAAATGGAATATTTGTTCGTGGATAATAATTCATGTATCAATCCTTACTATCGTCCTATCAAATGAATAACTGCTTATTTTTGATGTTGAGCACTTTAGGTCCGTTGTCATTATAATTTTTTCCTATCATACTAATTGTTCTAATCGTATCTCACTATTAATAGGATGACATGTAACGATATTACTAATACCATTGCAAGATTTAAAGCATCTGCTTTTAGTATATACCAGAAATATGCAGGTAAGCTTACATGATATTTTATCTCTAGCAATTTTTGTATGTTGAAAACAAACTTAGGATACATGCATTTCCTATACATGCAGATGAAATTCAGCTGCAGGATGCTGTTATGCCAACTGCTACATGTCCTGCCCTTGTTGATCTTCTCGATTGGTTAGAGGAGATAGAACGATTTTATTACAACTGGTACAGTGATTATATTATTTCGTAGACGATATTGTAAATAATTTTATAAAAGTGATGTTCACTGCATTATAGTAAAGTCTTGTCTTGGCTAATGTTAGAGAGTCGATTGAATCATTGCCATCTTGTCTATGTTATTATTAACTGTAGTTCTTATTAGAAAGAAATGACAATTTCATAAATATATTAAATAGGTACCTCACGAAGAAGCGAGCACTACATGATATAAATTATGAGGATATTGATACCATCAATACTATGCAGGAATTATGGAATGAAAATGATTGTATTCACTATTTAAAAGGTATGCATAAATCACTTCTCTCCGAGGTATGCCTTCCTGATTACTTGTAAGCTAATTATTGATAATACTGCTAACCTTTTCTATTTAGATGCTAGAGAACAAATTGGCGTTTTCTTATCCAAAGCATTTTAAGATAGGTTTCTTATGAATGATAATTATAGTAATGTTATCATGCTATGGTTTCAACGAAACATAATTAATTAATGTACAGACTTCACTATATTTACATCAATAATTACATTTACATTCAACGCTGTACTTATTCACTTTATCACTTATTTCTCTATATAATGTAATCAACTAGTAAATGGATAGTGTAAAATGCCGAATAAAGGCAATATTAAGACTTTCAGCTTCTTTTCTATGTAAAATTCCATCTCTATTCAATACTGCACTTATTCACTTTACCACCTATTTCTATATAAACTGTAATCAACCAACAGCCTATTTCTATAATTATTATACGTACTATAATCAACCATCAGGTTGATAGTGTAAAAATATTGCATTAAGGGCGATATC